CCAAATATAAATATAATAACAAATATTGATATTATAAATTCTCAAATATTATTAGATTTTGAAGATTTACTTAAAACATTATAAATGAGAGGACATATTACAAATAGATTACCTCAAGCATATAAGGATATAAAATTTGAATTGACATTAAGATTTTATATAGTCATAATAAATAATAGATTAAGTTTAAAAAAATTAAAAGAATACTTAGAATATTAAAGAATTCCGAAAGAGCCATTTTAAGATTTTAAAGAAAATTAGATTTTTGTTCACCTATAGTAACATCCCCTCAAATTCTCAATTGGTAATGGAGCCACAGGATCTATAAAAAACTATAAAAATCATTAAAATGAATAAATATTAAATAAGATAATGGAAATTGAATACTTAGGTAATAAATATAAAATAATAAGAAGAGAAAATTTTGACATAATAATTACAAAACTAATATTATGTAATGAAAGAAAAAAAATTTTACACTAAAAGCACTTGAAAAATTACCTACAGAAATAAGACAATTTATAATTGAAAGAATAAAATTAGGAATTGTTAAAGATATTTATACTTATGAGATGATACTACAAACATTTGAAGAAAATATGTATTATCTAATTAAAAAAGAAATAAATAATTATGAATAAAAATAAAGAATTATAGAAGTTATGGAAGTTACAATTACTAAGACAGACCGGTATTATAAGTTAGAAGAAAATCAAGGAGATTATATATTTATAGAATCATTTCCTAAAAAATTAAAAATAATAACATTAATTTTAATTAAATAATTACCTAGAGAAATAAGAGAATAAATATTAGATAAATTAACAATATGATCTATAATAGATGAATACATATACGAAAAAATTATTACAGAATTTGAAAAATAAGAAATTATGTTGCACTGCAAAGAAAATTACAAAACACATGAATTATCATTAATTAATTCTTAACTAAATATGGAAAAAATGAAAAATAATTTGGCTAACAAATTAAAAATAATAAAAATAATAAATCACCAAATATTAAATGAATTATTAATTCCTGATGATCAAATAGTTCCTAAAAAATTAACAAAACACCAAAAAAATCATATATTAAAACTAAAACAAGAAAAATATAATAAAAGAGCAAACTATTATGAAGAACTAACAGATAACAAATTTACAAAACAGAAGTATTATAGAATTATAAAAAACTGTAAAGATGTTAGATGTGAAATGTATTATCTTAACCAATCAAAGAAAAGATAATGACATCATATGGAAGAATTAAAAGCATTATTAAAAATATTAATAACTGATGTACAAAATCTATGAAATGAAATGAAAGAAGAAATAAATATATTAAAAATTGAAATTAGAGAATTAAAAGAAAACAATAAATGTAAAGATAGGAAAATAGATAAAAAAAAAATTAATAGAAAATGAGAAGTCGAGAATTGAAAAAAAAAGAAAACTTATTAATAGAAGTAAGAAGTATGGATGGTGATTTCGGAAGAAATATTTTACTAAAAATATTAGACGATTTCAACAGATTATTAGGAAAAGAAGAAAAAGAAAAAGAGAAAATCGAAGAAGATAAAGATAAATGAAGAACTAGATTTATTAATAGA